TCTAGAACCTTTAGGAAAGACCCCCCATTTCCAGCTTTCCTCTTGGAGATCGATGAGCTAACATCCTCAGTGGTCATATGCCAGTCTGTGACTTCTCTTCCTGTGGTGTTAATAACCTTATAAACATTGTTTCTGTCTATCTGGCCTGGCTGGAACTGTGCTTGTCCTAGTCCATCCTGGCTGCTATAACCAAACATCATAAACTGGGTGACTCCAAAGTAACAGAAATGTGCTGCTCACAGTTCTGGAGTCTGGAAAGTCCGAGGTCAAGCTGCTGGTAGACCAGCATCTGTTGAGGACTGCCTTCCTGGTTCATCAGATAGTGCCTTCTTACTGTGTCTTCACCTGGTAGAAAGGGTGAGGGAGCTCTCAGGCCTCTTTTGTTGGGCACTAATCCCATTCCTGAGGGCTCTCATAGGGTGATCTCTGCAGTATGTCAGGGTGGCCTTGGTCAGGCTCTGAGAGAATTCACGAACTCAGAAAGCAAATACAAGAGAATTTATTCACTTTCCATAGAAGGAAAGGGGATGGATGTGGAAAGTTGCATCAGCCCCAGAGTGGGCACAAGGAACTTTTACTAGGACTTAAGGAAAGGGAATATCTTACTATGGTTCAGAGTAAGATTCAGGAGGTGGCTATCTCAAGAGAAAAAGGAAAGATTTATATTAAAAGAAAGAGCACCCTGGGGTCTGAAACTGGAGGTGCTTACTCCCACACTACTGAGGAGAGATGATGTCTTTATGTGGGAGGGGTGGAGAAGCAGGGTCATGACAATGGCAGGGACTTTGAGTAGCTTACTTGCCATTGTGATCTGTGGGCCCATATCTGGGTGTTGGCAGTCAGTATAGGACAGTTCTGGCCAAAGGTCGTTGTCACATCTCCTTATTTTCTGAAAAGAAATTATCTAAAGGTCCTTCAGGGCTTGATCTAATAGGGGGCGGGGCGGTCCCATGGCTGGGTGATTGGAGTGATCCTGGGGCAAGACAGCTGTTGGTCCTAGGGTGATTTTGTCCTTATCTCAGGACGTCATAGCTGGCTGCTGTATTTGTCATGTATTCTGTCCTTAGTTTTGGTGCCGACTGTTGAGGAATGTTACAGTCTTCATATCCGAAGGCAAGAACCTAAAAATACAAGGTCAGCCATATGTCGAAGTCAAGAAAGGATTGAATAACTTAGGAAGAAAAAGGGGAGAAGGAGAAGGAATGTCTAAAGGACCCCAGATTTTTAGATGGGCTTTCCAGTGAAAGTGTCTGATGCCCCAGCAAGACACTGAGTTAACCCTTTTTCATCCCTAAGGTGCTTGGGGAACATTTAACCCTTTTAGGCCCCGCCCTCTCATCTCCTTCCAGCAGGTCCTACCCTCTGACACCCTCACAGCAAGATTAGTTTTCAGTGTGTGAATGTGACAGGCAGACACGAACCCTCGGAGCACGAACCCTGGTCCGTGCCCAGTCCCTTTCTCCAGCTCTGTGCCCTCCCGCCTCTGCTCCCCTGAATTGTGGCTGCAAGTCCACAGTGACTCAACCCCACTGTCTGCTCCCTCCATTCTCAGGGTGTCAGCCTCGTGAACCTGTCTCTCTCTCACTGAGATGGGACTGCACGATCGCTGGACCAGCCACAGCCTGGCATCTCCCTGTATCCAGTCCCTTCGGGGCATGATCACAGACATGATGCAGAGTGGATGCATTTCAGAGGGAGTTTCTTATTTCTCAGAGCAAGGACAGGTCCCTCCGTGTCCCCTTTTATGGTAAATATAATGCAAATGAGCCATTGTCTAGGGAGGAGACAAAAGTCTAAGACGGATTAAGGCACCAAGTGCAAATTATCTATCCAGACAACTCACCAATCGCAAGGTTGATTCAGAGGGTGAGATACCGCTAGCCACTGAAACTAAGAAGGGTGTGGGCAGGGCAGTCATGGGAAGGTGGGGTGACACAGCAAGCAAGGGTAGGGTTCGTCATGCAGATCCAAGTCCAGCACCTTCTCCGTTGACAAGCCTCTACTGATTTACTCATCCTCGTGTTCTTCCCACATGGAGATTGCCTTTATAGAAGTGCATCTCTCTTATGAAAGGGTAATATCTGTTTTCACAGCTTCTCCTGTGTCTTTAGTTTCTCAAAATACCCAGCTCTAAATATTCTTTTTGCCAAAGAGGCATATTTTAGGGTAGCATATTCTGGTCTCTTGCAACTCTTCTCGTCTGAGTCTTACCATGTTCTCTCCCGTGCACCCCACACCATGCAGGATGGGAAACAGCGCCCAGCCTTAGGATGCAGGACTGCGGGGTTGCCGGGGTGGTTGAGCCCGGCAGTTGCAGCAGGATGTGGGGTTCTTGTCTGACGCTCATGAAAAATTAGAGATGTGGACACACAGAGAGGTAGAGCAAGGCAGAAAGATTACTGAAGGAGAGGGAAGGGAAAAACAGAGCTCCCAAGAAGGCAGGAGTCCTAGAAAACGGGTTGCCGAGGAGAAACTGGGGCAAGGGGTCTTTATCTGGTCAGAGGGGCCTTGTTCAGGCTTGCTGTCAGGTGGGGCCAGTGCATGCGTTCCCCTTGTGGTGGGGAGGGGCACCTGCAGGGTGGGTCCAGCTATTTTACTCATTTTGGAGTGGGTAGGTCAGGAGATTGTTGGTCTGGAAGCTTTGGGCCATGAATTCTTTAAGAACAAGATGTCCATATCTAAGGACAAAGGAATATGGCAACTGGGAGAAGAGAAGAATTGTGTGGAGCCACGCAGCTCCCCTCTGGCAGGGCAGACATGGCTTGGGGGTTGCCCTGTCTGCCTGTAAACGGGGTCTAACTCCTCCCTCACTTAGACTGAGAGCAGCCCCGAGGTGGCCAGCACAGGGTGTTCATCCTGGCTTCCGTTCCAATACCTCCACATGTTTGTGGGTCTTCAGGAGGGACCTCTTCTGTAGATCTGGGAGTGGTTGTGCCGGAGATAAAATTTAGGAGAGTCAGAACAGTACAGAGACGGGGGAAGGAAAAAGGTGGAGGGCAAGAGTAGGACTAGAAGGGATGAAAGTCTGAACAAAGCCCTGTTAAGGAGTAGCCAAGAGGGAAAAGAAAACTGGGGGTCTCAAGGGGTGGTCAGCAGGTGGCGTAGTGGTCAAGGCGCAGGACTCTCACATGGCTGAATAAGGTGGTAGTCCCAGACCCAGCAGATTGAAAATCATGCCAGGTGCATGGAGCACACATGCCCCATGGCAAAACCTTAAAAAAAAAAAGGAAATGGGGTGGAGAGGAATCCATGAGACCCTGTCCCCCGGGAATTAGCTGTCCTGGCGCAGGCTGCCAGGAAGAGGCAAGGTTGAAGTGAGGGCGGGGTCAGGGACTGGAGCTCACAGGGGCTTAGCGTGATCGCTGAGAGGACAGAAGCCAGTTGGATTGAGTTGAGAGGAGGGTGGGCAACCCAGGGGAAAAGGGCAGGACCTTGGTACCCTCTGGGTTTTACCATCAATGCCCTGGGTGCCATGATTCGGTCACTTCCACCAGGCTACCTGCCCTGGGCAGACTGCCCAGGAGAAAGGGCACAGCATCCCATACACCGTCTCCATCGTTCTCGACCCAGAGATAAAAGCCCACCATGGGACACAGCCCTACAATGTGGGGGTAAGACACCCCCCGAAATTGTCCCATGGGATAAGAAAACTCCTTTTCAAGGACCAGCAGTTGGTGTAATGGTTATGTCACTGAACTCCAATGTAGTCGACTGTGGTTCAAGTCCCGGACCTGGCACCTTAAAACTCACGCTGGTATACGTGCATGTGTGCCCAAGATCTTCAGAGGAGACTGGAGGAGAAAGGATTATGGTATGGTCATCTCCCTGGGAGGGTGATTTCTCGCTTTCTGTCGCTCTTTCTCTGTCTCTATGGCCTGCACACACCCTATAGCAGAAAATCTCTCTCTCAAAACAAAAACAAAACAGAAAAAAGAAAAGAAAAAAATCCCTGCCCGTGTGTTCTGTGGGAAAAGAAAAGTTGAGGAAGGAAGAGGTGAAGACCTGGTGCAGGGAGGAAGCAGAGGAGGAGAACTATAAAAGCCAAAGGGGATTTGTTTGATCCCCAGGAGGATTAACCTGAGCGTGTGCTTGGAAAGCCAAGCAGACCTGGAAAGAAAAGCCATGAATCATTTATGATTGTTTTCACTTTGTATTCATTAAGGGCCTCTGCACTATTATTATCGAGCCTTAATTGGCTTGGCGCTGAGCCCTGCCTCCTCCAGCCCCTGCTCCTCCCTTTGCCATCAGAAATTCCTGCAGTGAGTATAAGCAAGGACCCTGCCTGGGAACAGGGGCGGCTGGGCCAGAATCCACCCGGAAGATCAAATGGAATGCAGCAGGCTTGCTCTCTTCCCTGTGATCATATATTAATAGATGTATCTCGTTGGGCCTTCGCTGCTCCCCACAAGCCACTCGGAGCTCCCTGGCATCTTGGAGCCTCTGCCTTCTCAGACGCTGGAGAACTCGCTCATTTGCTTCTTCCTCTCGCGGCCTTGCGGGCGCAGTGTCTCCACGCATGACAGTGCGCATCCTTTGTTCGAGCGCCGCGCCGGGCACTGAACCAGCTGCGGTATGCGGGTTACCTGATTTACTTCTTTTAATACACTTCGGTGTAATTATAATTGCATAAAAGACAGGACAAATTGGCAAGTAATTACGGTGTTAATTTGGCAATGTTTTATCATATTGTGGAAGCACAATTTCCTCTCTAGTTGTATTGGGGGGGAACACATTTGTCAATGGGGGAACTTATTGAGGGATTCTCCGGAATGGAAGTGGAACACATGGGAGACAGGAAAATCAGCTCTCCTCCCCATAAATACTCCGTTATTTGCATGTGTTTTGCAGCCTCCTTAAAAAGCTAACTCATTTATTCAGGCCTAATTAATGGAACGCTACAGAATGGGTAATGAGGCTGTGACAGCCTCCGCTGACGGATGGCTCTGCATTCGGGAACTGGAGGACCCCCCAGTTACACGGGCCGAATGTTTCTTTTTCAGAATCTCTCGGGCTGTGCGTGCCTCACCACCGTCCCCCCTGAAAATGCCACCGTGGTTCCTGGAAAGTGCCCCAGTCCCGGGTGCCAAGAGGCCTTCCTCACCTTCCTGTGCGTGATGTGTGTCTGCAGCATGATCGGTGCCATGGCGCAGACGCCCTCGGTCATCATCCTCATCAGGTAAGGCGGCAGCCTGGCCCTGGGGACCTGAGAGCCGGCCCCACCTCTCCCGTTCCCACCTGCTCTCTCAGGGATCAGGGGATCGGACCTAAGGATGCACTGTGAGGGTTGTAGCCAGGTGAGGCAGGGCCACAGCTAGGAATGCAGATCCCCTAGGCTGGCAGGGACCAATCACATTCCACAGGGACCTCACACCAAGACAAGATAACAGTCACGTCTTCTGCAGGTGATTTTGAAAGGGACCACATTGATTGTTTCAGGAAGGAGCATCGTTGGAATGAAGTGAAAATGACAGTGAACTGGCTAAGTCCCAGTGCCCAACCATGGCCCTGCCAATGATTAGCCACACAGCCATGGGCATGACCCTTCCCCCAGATGTGTTTCTGAATCTGCAACTGGGAGTGTACTTACTGGTCCTGTCTGTCTCCTTCCCTGGCGTGAGACCTGCCCAGACCGTATGTGTGCCCATGTTGGAGAGATAGCAGGAGTCATGGTGCCCCTGGCCCATATCAGGCAAGCAGTGGCTGCTCTTGTAGAAACAGGTCATTGAAAAGAACCATCCATAAATCTGTGTCCTGTCTCAGGGGGCTTGTGCCAGGACAGGCAAGGTGCCTTAAAGGTGAATCACTGAGTTACACTCTTGAGTAGTTTTTATCATTTACAAAGCTGCTGGTTTTATGTGAAGAGCCTAGAGATGAACTGACATACACTCCAGCATCCATCTGACCCAGAGGAAGGGACACCACCCTAAGACAGGTGCATCGTATTGGGATGCAGTCATCACTTCAGTCCCAAGCCTGGAAGTTCCCAGCGTCAGGGTGCATCACCAGTGACTTTACCCCTCCTCGCTCTTCCTCCCACCCTGCCTATCGCATTGCCTGGTCTTTGTTAGGGACTCCTGCAGAAGAGGATTTCTGCCATGTGCCCGCGTGCCTTAGGAGGTAACAAGCAAGGCCTTGCAAATGTGCCCGAGCACTGAGGATACAACAGCAAATTGCCATTTTATACTTACTAAGGTTGAAAAATAAATTTTAAAAATTCCCGCCCAGCATTTTGCAAGTCTGTGGGAGAACTGGTAAAATCCCACATTGCTGGTGGCATTGACAACCTTATCAGCCCTTTCAAAAAAGCAATGTGGCAGTGGGAATCAGAGCCATAAAAATATTCAGACCCTTTTATGTGGCAACTGTAACCCCCACCCTTTGCCACTTATCTTAAGAAAAATACTTCTGTAAAGAAAAGAAAGAAAAGCTCAGTGCGGACAGATTTTTTTTTTTTATTACATTAACTATAATAGCAGAAAAACCTGAATTGGAATCGTGAGTTAAATTATGGAACTGCAACTCAGTGGAATAATGAAAATTCTTAAGAAATGTGAAAAGTGTTTATGAAATGAACCATCGAGTTTCAAACTATGGAAGATGATTATATGTAACATGCATATGGACAAAACCCATCAGACCTCACGTATGGCTGCTTTGTAAGTAGTTTATTTTTCATGATTAGAAATTCTCAAGTTTTATTGTGATAGTCACACACAAAAGGCAGCGAGAAGCAGGAAAAATGGCCCTCGCAACCAAAAGCAGTGATTAGTTCCCTTTTTCCTCACCCCATGACTTGCTTGCTAAAACCCAGCCTGGAGACACTCCGTAGCAATGACCGGCAGACCAACATGGAACGTCTGTTCAAACTTCAACCTCTTCCAAATCTCAGCATGATAAAGAGCTCTTGGAGCTTTTTAGGAATATTTGATTCCCATTAAGTGGATCAGCAACAGATGGCCTAAATGACCCAGGCTGGGCCTCGTCCACCTCATTCCTCCATGCTGTGTCAGAGTCGCATGCTTACACGTGTGCATAGTGAGAGGGCCAAGGCAAGGCTTGATTCCATCACATTCCTGATTTGATATTCCATCACAGATGTTCTAGGCAAACACAAGGACACCAAGAGTCTGGGCTACAGCCTGGCCGTGTACCAGCTCTAGCCCTGTTCCAGAATAGTAGACTCACTCTCATGTTAGACCAGAGCATACCGCCAGTGACCGTGCTCAAAATGTCCAGAAGGGAAGATAAAAAGTGACATTCTTAGGTTCCAGTGCTGGGCTCAAGAGAGTGATTAAGCTGTAGTTTCAAGGTCATGCACTCCTAAGTTGCAGAGCTAAGACTCTGTCCCTGATGTTGCCCAGAATTTCAATATTATTCAGGCCGAGCCCTCCATTTCTTCATAACTAGATCTGAAGACGAGTCTTCTGTGGGAATCAGCTTCCCAACAGGATATGAAAGAAGATCTTAGCACCTTGCTTGCTTTGTTCCTGGTGAGATGACAGCTAAAAGGAAATCAAATTTTGAGTGATAAATATTCTAGTTCATTATATCTCCTTGATAAGGAGAATTTGCCTTTATTGATGCATCTTTGGAGTCAGTGTTTTCAAATGAACACGCTAAACTAGAGTCATGGAGCCAAAAACTTTGAAGAATTTGGATTTTGCAATGTGCACATTCTGAAGGGTACTGAAGGTATGTCTGTCGAGAGACACTGATATCGTCATTGACATTGCGCTGGTGTTGCACTTAATCAGTCTCAGAGTTGTGTCATCACTCGAGGAGAGTTGTGAGCCGCTGCCTGGAAATTACTTATCTCTACTCTATAATTGAGGGGGGAGGAATGCATATTTCTCCAATAGCACATTTTTAGTTTTCCTAAAAAATGTTGGAAAGTGGGAGCAAAAAAAATATAAAAACTACACTGTCTTAGTCCATTCAGGCTGCTGTATCTAGACAGAGTGGCTATAAACAGCAGAGATGTTTCTCATGGTTCTGGAGGCTGGGAAGTCCAAGATCAAGGCACAAACAGAATCAGTGTCTGCTGAGGACCCACTTCCGGGTTCAGACATGACACTTTCCAGCTGTGTCCTCATCCAGTAGGAGCGAGGCAACTCTGTGGAGCCCCCTTTAAAAGGACGCTAATACCATTCACAGGACCCCACCCTCATGACCCCATCACCGAAGTGCAATGAATGAATTTTGAGAGGACTCATTCTGTCTATGGCATATATCCACATCCTTTGGGTTTGATAGCCACTTTTGGCCTGTCATACCAAGAAGCCAAAGATATGCCCACATGAGGCTCAAACCAAGTGTAAGTCACTGGATGATCCCTGGGGTTAGTCAAGAATATTATTCTAGCCACCGCATCCACAGACAATTTAAATATCCCATACTCTGAATATCCTGTCAGTACTTGTAACTTTTATCTTCTTTTTTAAAAATCTATTTTATACATTCAGTCACTATACATCACTACATCCTGTAAAGCGAATGTACCCATCATGAATATACTTCACATCAGTCTATTTGAAGACACCATTCATAGGCTCTCCCTGCATCTCAATGGTCTTCCTGATCTTTTGGTCACACAAAAATGCTCCTGGGTATTTTTGAAGGCTCAACCACACTGGACTGGCTCTAAGCCTACCCAGGTCCTTCCAGGAGGCCATAAGTTAAGATTTTGTGCCCCCTCTCCTCCAGGGATTCCTGAAGAGGATAGTGACATAAGAGAGACAACGTTACTCTGCAGAAAGAGTAAGGTTCTGTGCAGTTATTAAGGATGGCCTGGAACACATGTGCATTCTGTCAGTTCTTCACATTCCTTCACCACCAGACCAGAGGTAGGGCTGTCCCAGGTCACCAGTGGGAGATACCTGCTCACCCACTCAGTCACTCAATACACGCTCTGTGCCATACATAGCACTAGAGTTGGGATTATGGTGATGAATATGATACTGATGGTCCTTGACCTCCAGGGTCGCAGGGGCAAGCACTGAACAAATACTAGCTTCCAGAGTAAGAGCCATTAAAAGGAGTGCATGTTCACAGCTGGTGTTCCCATCTACCTGCAGTCGGTCATCATTTCCAAACCCCTCTCTACTATTACTCTCATTCCAGGAAATGTTATGCTCTGAAAGTATTCTAGAAAAATTTTAGGAGATTGTCGTGAGTCAACCACAGCTGAGGAGATTGAGTCAGTTTCAGACAAAGTACCATGACTATATGAAAGTAGTTTTCCAAAGTCAAAGGTTCTGAAACTTGATAGAGATGGATGGATGGATGGATGGATGGATGGATGGATGGATGGATGGATGATCTCCCACATGGTCCATCCAGGATGGCAGACCACACTAGTCTGGTGGGCTTGGTAAATTGCCCTGAAGATGACAGAGGAGTTCATGGTTTTGGTCAGTCTCCATGGCATAAGAGGAATGACTTTCCAGTTGATGTTTTTCTGACAAATGTACTTCACCAACTGAGCTACTTCTCCATCCCGGGAAAAGCTAAATGTTGTTAAATGTAAACTTTATGACCAAAATAGCATTCCATCCACTGAATGACAAGATTAGTGCCAGTTATTTAAAAACACGGTTAAATTCCTAAACTTATCTTCACATTGCAGCTCCAACTCTTTTTCATACTTTAAGCAAGAAAACCCAAAAATAACGAAGAAAAACTATTATTTTTCTATGGAAGGGTCTGAAGGACAGCAATAGGCAATTGTTGGGGTCTATTAATCAATGTGAAATGACAAGATTTTTGTTTTCCTCTCCCTTCATCTCTTTGCATGTAGGACAGTCAGCCCTGAACTCAAGTCTTACGCCCTGGGAGTTCTTTTTCTCCTCCTTCGTTTGTTGGGTACGTATTCTCTCTTTATTCCCTCACTAATACGTTGGATGCTCATTGCCAGGTGAGTAAATATCAGTGAAACTATCTCACTTGGGGGGCGGAGTGTCACTTTTTTTCTGTGAAGCTTGTTATTACACAAGAGGAACGTCTCGTCTGATCATTTTGCTCAGGTGAGTTAAGATGTTCAACTTGAGACTCCCTCGATACGTCTGTTTGCGTTGATACAAATTCTTGTGTTAATGCCACCCTGAATTCTCATTGGCATAAGGAGGAAAACTGATGGTGCCAAGGGGAAAAAATGTGATGGTGTAATTTGGCAACCTCATTAAGTAACCTATGAGCAGCTTGTGAAATGCTTCACTTAGGGGGCCTCCAGCTGGGAGAGAGTAGCATTCTCACAATGCCTTGCAAGTGGAAAATGCATCCTTTACACTTTTCCAAACTGATTTATTTACCTTGATGTTCTAGGGAGAAAAAAGTCTATCCCCCTCGTTTATAAGCTGGCTGAACCCAAGGCCCTGTACACTTTCGAGGGAGTTGAACAGCCAGCCAGGTAGCCCAGGGACAGCTGTGATCAGCTCTCTCTTGCTCTCCCACTTTTGTCTTAGGAACTTTCCTTGGGGTCAAGGTCAAGGTGAGATCACTCTTTGTAGAGTAGTCCATAGCAGCAGTCTTCTTTAATGGACTTGAAATGGCAACTGAATGTGGGGAGGGAAATAACCATGGCTCGTATTTTCAGAGTAAAAATAAAAATCTTCATTATCAGCACAAAGACCTAGCTGTAGAAATGTTTGTAAATGTGTTAGTAAAAAATAGAAAATTGGCACCAACCCAAGTATCTAACAGCAGGGAATTAGTTAAGTCAATTACAGTCTGTAATCTCAGTAGGAATTATGTTGTCACTTTAAAATGCTAGAAAGAAAAATACTAAAAAAAAATTTTTTAATTGCTATAGCCAGAGAAAAACAGAGAGGTAGAGACAAAGAGGGAGAAAGCACCCCTCAGTGGGGTGTGGTCACAACACAATCCGTTCTCCTCCATTTCTCCATTCTGTCAGGATTTTGATCATACACACGCACGCCTGTTGTGTTTTTCAAGCCTCCAGGGCCAACATTTAAACCGCCATTGGCTGTGTAGGATCTACCTCCCTTAATCACTAGCTTCTGAGGCTGACCCAAGAAAAAAAATAGGTGTGGACCTAGAAAAGGCATGGGATATGTGGAAGGGGGGAAAAAGGCCTATAACTTATTATCTACTGGACTGTTCGTAAAGTAAATGTAAACATGGAAAAATGTAGGAAAGTTAGACATCCAAATGGTATTCATTGTCATCTTTAAGGACAGAAGTTATAAATGATATTTCTTGAATTGGTCTTAAAATTTTTAATGGATACACAAGATCTTCCGAAAGTTAATGGAAAACATGTTTTATGAAATAGCTGCATGGATTTCCAAATGGCTTACACGAAAATGAACTTGTATTTTTATTTCATAAACTTTCTGAAGTACCTATCACTTTTATAGTGAGAGTAATTCCTACATACTTGATATATAAAAGAAGAAAAATATTAACCCTTGGCTCCATTAATAACATACATTCCTGCCGAGGAATGGCCAGTAAGGGGAGGTGGGGGCCTGTTCTCTCACACCTGTGGAGCCCCTGTGCAGGTCTCGCACCTCTCAACAGATGGTAAGGACTCAACACGGCTGGTAAAAAATATTTTTACCGTTCAAAATAATTTTGATAGCACAAAATGAAAATGCAAAATGTTTCTGAAAAGCTAATGAAAATTACAGGACATGGGCCAGCCTGGTCAGTTTGGTGATTGAGGTGGCTGAATCCCACATGACTTGACTTCGCAGTTCTAGCCCCAGGTCCCACTACTTGGAAAATATGCCAGATGTGTGTGTGTCTGTCTGTCTGTCTGTCTGTGTCTCTCTCCCTGGTGAGCATACACGCCTTATAACAAAACTAAAAGAAAAATTTGTAGGTCAACCGAAGACAGAATGGAGAATTAGGAGGCACAGGTAAAACGACACTATTTAGAGCACTGTCCACAGTACTGAAACCATTTCACTATTTGTCTGCCCTAGGAATAATTAGTGAGACATTATCTAGAACAGTGGTTTTCAACTTCCGCCACTGTACTCCAGAGCAAGAGATAACTGCGCTAGGTCTTAGTACACATGCACAGATGTAGCAGAAACAACCATTTCATGAAAAACTACTTGCAATATGTAGGACATGTTCTGATATGTCCTATTCTGTTATAGTCCATGCTTTCAAAAAAGTTGGTCATGTCATTGCCCATTATGGGCCACAAATCAGCATTTTGAAAACCCTGCTTTAGAGGGATATGACACAGCTTCATCAACTCCAAGCAGCTCATCAAAAAAGTCTTGGCATTTGGCCTAATCCCAGTTCTTGCAGCACCCGATAAAATTAACCACCACCATTATTAATGGAAGGCCAATGAAGAGCTCAGATTCTATGACCTTGACAGCCTTGATGGGTGGCATGGACACAGTGGGACCATCATGGGTTGGTGGGACAAGATGTGTGATGGATTCAGCTCTGATGCACCAGGACCATGTGCAAGGGCTACCTCACTTTGCTTTGGGTTTGAGAAAGATACGATGCCTAGGCTTAGACCTGAGCAGGAAGAGGAGAGAGTGTGCTGTGGATAGAGGGACGTGCAGGGTAAAAGCCTGGGCGTGAACAGCATGTTGGGGGCTGCAGAGCCCAGTGTTGCTGGAGTGCAGAGCAGGAGTGTTCAGGAGCTTATTCAGGAAGACTGCTCACCCTCTTGTGAGTTTAACTCTTACTGCTGGAAAGATGGAAATCATCAATGGGCTCTAACTGGGGAATGACAAGATCCATGGTGGTATTTTGCAAAAGGCCTCTGCCATGTGCAGTCTGAATAATGACTGCTGGTCACTGGGGCCCTACAAAGGGCCCATCATAATAAGGGCCACAGCCCAGTGACACTCCTGTAACAAATCAATTGACTCTAATTTGTACATGGCACAGTGGCCTTGAAAAAGGAAGACCCAAAGATACTGGGAAAATTATCCATGTTTACACTGAGGTCCAATGACTGGACAGCCATATAAATAGGATTGGATGAAAAATCTACAATCTAGTGTTAGTAGACTCAAATGGGAGAACCCAACAAGCCTTGTCTGTCTAGTCTTCATGGCCTCATGGTATGGAATTCCCCCCTCACACACACACACACACACACACACACACATTGTTATAGGGCAGAACCCATTCTGGAATGAAGGTCTTACAATCTACTTTCCGCCAAAGTCATTCAGAATTTCTTTATAACCAGCTCTTACACAAAAAGGCCCAGGGATGTCTGAGTGATCTTTTTAAGCTTTATGATTTGCTGTAGGGAGAGAGCTCCTAGTTCCTAAGGACTATTTGGGGAAGAGGAATTGTGTTTTCTGTGACTTGCTTTGGAGGACGATGTGGAACGAGAGATAGGAGGACAGGTGAAGGTCCGCGAGACCTCACTTCTGATGCCTTCCAACATCCTTTAGTTCAAGGTACCCCAAATACCAAAGCCATACTTTGGGGTACATTTTTCTGAGCCTCCACATAAGAGTAGCTGGGGTCAGCAGGTGTTTTGGCTAAGGCAGTGGACTCCCATATGGCTGACCATGGCTTGAGCCCCAGATCTACCAGGCATGTGTGCATGTGTGCCCAAAAATCCCAAGAGGAGAATGGAAGAGAAAGGATTGCTGCATGGCCATCCCCCCTGGGGAAATGATTTCTCACTTTCCCTCTCTCTGTCTCTCTCTTCTTCTCCCTCTGGTAAGTGCATGCACCCTATGGCAAAAACCTAAGAAATAAAAGTAGCTGCTGGAGGCTTTATCTGACACAGTGCTACTGAGATGGGAATAGGTGGGTGGTGCCGAGAACTGGTAATGAGGAAAAACCGTCAAGGCTTATTCTCTGGGTGAAAATATAAGGACTGGCGTAGCAGTCCTGCCAACTTCTTTAAAAAAAAAAAAAAAAAAAAAAGTAGAGCTAGCCTGTAATCTAGTGGTTAAGGCAGCTGGATCCCACATGGCTAACTATACAGTTCTAGTCCCGGACTCTGCAGCTCGAGAACCATGCTGAATACACGTATATGTGGATGCCCAAAATCCTGAAAGGAGGAAGAAATGGAGGAGAGGGGATTGCAGTATGACTGTGCTGTATGATAGGGTGCTTTCTCGCTTTCTGTCTCTCTAGTGAGTGCATATACCACCCTTTAGCAAGTTAAAAGACTCCGATCACAGGGTGAATAGCAGGATGAGGAGCAAGTTGGGAGTGGTAAAGGCCAGCGTTGTCCAGCAGAACTTTGAGATTATGGATGTGCTCTGCCCCACACATCGCTGATGAACATTTGAAATACTACAGTGTAGGGCCAGCAGGGGGGCATGGTGTTAAAGCCTTGGATCCCACATGGCCGACAGCACAGTTTGAGTCCCAGACCCAATGACAGAAATTGTGCCGGGTGTGTGTGTGTGTGTGTGTGTGTGTGTGTGTGTGTGTTCCCAAAATCCTGACGAGACCAGAGGAGAAGGGATTGTGGTGTGGCCATCCCTCTGAGAGGAGAAGGGATTGTGGTGTGGCCATCCCTCTGAGAGGTAATCTCTCACTTTCCCTGTTTCTCTGTCTCTGGCAAGCACATGCACTCTGTAGGAAAACTAAGAACTGCAGTGCAGATAAATTTTATTTTTTTATTGCTTTCCACTTACACGGCCCCTCTTGCCCAGTGGCTGTCATACTGGACAGTGCACTGAGAGAGGAACAGTTGTTGATGCTGCAGCCGCACTGGGCCGAAGCATGAGGAAGTCAAAGAACCTGGGAGGCCTCTCTTCCCAGCTCTGTGGCTGTGGGTGATGTAAGGAAAGGAGGCCAGGCCTCACAGTGAATGCCGGCTTGGTTTCCCTTGTTGCTTTAAATGCCAGTGGGAAGGAGTTGGCGGAAAGGGAAGGGCCAGCCCTGCAGCA